GCAAGAGGAGAAATAATATGATATCATTTTTGAAATTATGGTATTACTTCAACAGTTTTTGTTGGGTGCGGTGCTCCATAAAATCAATCTCCTATGATTAAAAAAAGAGAAAATTACCATGAGCATTTTATAGTTTAGTTGTTTTTACACTTATCCTCTATGTTAGTTTAGAGTAAGTGTAAAATAAACTAAACTATATGATGATTTAGATGTAAACTGTAATTTTTCAAAACACGAAGGTTAGGTGTAAAAACAACTAAGCTATAGATGTTCATGGTAATTTTCCCTTAAAAATACTAATTTTCAGACAGCTAAGGGAAACTGAGACTTAATGTTATTGCTGTAACAACATAAGAAATGAAAAAAGCAAAGAATACCCAAAAATTGCTATAATTACCCATGGCATGTTGGCGGGGGGAATAAAAGGACGAAGCTGCATGTAGCCCAGGTGATAGTTAATCTAATTTTTCTTCAGAAACACAGACGATACAAATCAAATGGGCATGCGCCACCTATTGTTGCCTACTTTTGACATTAGAACGCGCTATAGAGCGACAACTCAATGGGCAAATTCATGTGTGGTTCAGCATTTAACATCTATATTTCAGCATGGGATAAATCCAACCCCAATCCTAAAGATTAAAAGGAACATATTCAAATCCAGATTTTTATCTAGTTCACCAAACAGTTTGCAAGTGTCAAACTTTTCACTCCACTCCATACAACACTCTTGTTGGGAGAACAAAGCATAAGGTGAGCAAAAGTTTAATTTAAAACTTCCAATCTTTTCCAAAAAATACTTACCCGTCAACAAGATAAACAAGTTTTGGATACAGCTGCTGATCACGTATTTGATTCACTTCTGCAACAGTTGAGTCCATGGATTGCATGTCAACTATATATCTTGTATGCAGATGACTCACAGCTGCTTTTGTTTTCTCCAAGGATTCAGTACTACCACCACGTTTCTTCTGCTTATTTAGCAAAGCAACCTTCTTCTTGTACTCAAGCTTCATAAGCTCCCCTTGCTAATCAACATTAAGCAACAGACTTCATTAAGACCCAGCGTATGAAAAAGGCAAAATGACTTGAGCATTTCCCCAGAAAAAAAGGAAATAAAAGAAAGAAAGATCCGGCTTCACACCATTGCTAAGATTTACAAGAATGTGTCAAGCATCTATAAAAGTCTGTTTGGAAACTGTAAGCTTTTAATCTAATCATAGAAGGAAAGTGAACATTTTCTGATAAGATAAGCAGCATAACCAATAGCTGGGATGCCAAACTCAACATGAAGCGCAAACAACCAAAATCAAATGATGCAATGTACCTTCACTTCATCATAGAGTTTCTTTTCCCATGCCAACAACTTATCCAAAACAGTAGCGTGAGTTTCATAATCTTCAGTATCAAGTTCATCCTTTCCACCTTCAGCCCTAGGCTCACCTTTGAATGACCTATTCCAGGTGATAACACGCATAACCCTAGCGGAATGATCAATATGTCCTGCAAATGTCAATACCATATCAGCAAAAAATATCAACAAAAACAAAACATCTACCACAGGCAAGCTAAATATCAAGAAAATATCTTAGCAGATTAATCTTATGCTTCCAACTTTTAAAAAAGAACAACAGATCTTTCTAGGTACAGCACATCAGGATTGCATAATTTTCCTGTTACCATTTTTTTTTTTTTTTTGCTTTTGATAAGAGAACCAATAAAAGCAATAAGAAACCGCTTCCCCAAAAGATGAAGATGGCATAACAAAGTCCAATTGGGGTAAAAAGCAGCTACTGTCATTCAGAATGCCACGAAGGGTGTAGTTAAAGATTATAGGTTTGCTTCTTAGAGAAATCCTAGGATTGAAAATTTACATGATTGTTAATTTTAGAATTTTAAGGAATTAGTCGAGATTAGTATAAACTGGGCCGGAAACCCATGATTAACCAAAAAAAAATTCAAAATCATTACAAATTTTATATCATTAAATAAAAGCACAAATGCTTTCAGCTTCAATTTTCCACGTACAACAAGCATACACATTTTAGAAACTTTCATTATAAAAAAGATTGCAAATTTGATGGCCCCAGCAAGCAACTTCAACCCCAAGCATGCAAGAAATTACAATTAAAAACATAAACAGCCAAAACACAACATCAAGTAAACAAAAAATTCAAACACAAGCAACAAAGTTAAGCCAATTATACCTCGATTGTCAGCAAAATTAGAATGGTAATGCAAGCGAGTAGCCTCAAGCATCTTACAAACATCTTGTGCACTCTCCGATGCTTTTAAGAAATGATCATCAATTTCGTTCAAAACCTGCATCAAATTCACACTAGGAACAGACCCCCCTTTCCTCCCCGTCAAATTCACCGCACTAAACTCTGGTGGTGCCGTTTTTGAATGCTCCATTTGCTTCCTTTCCTTCTTCTCCACATCCCCTTCCTCCTCCTCTTCCACCACAGGATCCATCTTCTCCCCCGCCTTCTCCGGCGTCTTTGGCTCAATCTCATCAATCTCACCACCACCACCCTCTATCCCACCCCTCAAATCCCTAACCTCAGCAAACCCAACACCGACATTCTCAACATTCCCAAAATTACCCCCATTCCTTCTCACATCCTCCTCAGGATCCAAGGACGAACCCGGCATATTATCCGTCCTAAAGAAATAATCCCAGGCAATGTTCTTCGCCTCCGGCATCGGCGGCACCACCGAGGAATGACTCTCCACCGTCCTTGGTGGGGTCCTCGGAATCGTATCCTCCTCCCCTGGGCCCACACCCCCATTATTCTGTGGGCCCCGCTGCGAAACCTTCTCACTATTTTCATAATCCTTATTCTTTCTACTCAAACTCCTATTCCGCAACTCCTGCACTTCCTCCTCCTGCACCTCCTCCTCCTCCTCCGCAATCACATCAGAATCACCCATCTGCTTCCCTTTCATTACTATATCAGGCATACTCATAGCCCTCTTAATCGGACTGGGAGAAAAGTTAGGAAGCGGTGGTGGAGGCGGGGGAAGATTGTCCATCGACGACGGATGCAGTGGAGGGGGAGGAGGGGGGGGAGGCGGCGATTGAGAAGAAGGCTGTTCAAACGGAGAATCATGATTAGCTTCTCCATGGCCATAATCACTCAAAGCAGCACCAGTATTCTTTAAATAAATAGCATAGCCAGAATGACCAGCAGCAAAAGCATTTCTTGCTGCGACTGCTTCTTTCATCAAGATTTTCCGCTCTTTGCATCTTGAAACTGATTCTTCGTTATCCACCTTTGACTGTGCACACCCCATCACAGTTCAAGCAGGATTCAATAACAGATGAGGTTAAAAGGAAGGAAAAAGTTGTGGGTTCTTGATGATCGTGGAGGAGAGCATGTTAAGACAGCCAGACAGAGGGAGATATTGATACTGACAAGGATGGACAGAGAGTTAAGTGTGTAGTGCGAATGGTGTGCGGAGCAAAGATGAGAGGTTTTCTTTCTTGTTGTGTGTTTTTAGATACTCGAGAGAGTAGGGAAAAGGGGTGTACTCGCTGGGTTTGGAGGAGCAGGTGCGCTTGTTTTGTATCTAAACTAACGGTCACATTTTTTAAGGTGGAAACCATGTCGTTTTGCGACGGTGAGATGATGTGCTGGCAGAGAATGCTCGCCGGACCCTAATGATTTACGAGCAATCTTTCTCACCCCTAAGGCAAACAATCTAGCCCAGAGATGGAAACCTGCAAAATCCCTGTGCCGAGAATTGTGTTTTCCGAACTGTATTCATGTTCAATCGGTGACTTCTGGACGTTGTTCAATTTGGAAAATATTAATTGCCGTAGTCAAGAGTCTAATTTGAAAAATATTATTCAAGGCCTCCTTCTATTAACATCCATGCCTAATCAAACTACTCAATTAAAACTAAAAAAGATTAAGCTTCTGGAAATGATGTCAAAGGATGGATTGATACAACTCTTTTCTTTAAATTAAATAAATAAAAAATAAACAATTCAAACTCACGTTTTCTGTTCAAGGCGACGACGACAGTCTCAAGCTCTCGGCCAGAGTAGTTGATGCATAATTGAAATGCCTGCTCTAGAAGAAACGAGGGTCTAATAGGCCGTAAGGGCATAAGTTTTATTTTGATTGGTCGTACAAAGGTCAACATCAATTAAACCTCGACCAATCAACATGTTTTTTCACCCAGCCAATGAGAGCGGAGACGTTAAAAATCATGCCGATTTAAAGTATTTTTTATATTAAAATAATATTTTTTATTTAAAAAAATTATTTTTAAAATCAATGCATTAAAAAAATTCAAAAGTATAAAAAAATTTAATTTTTTTTTAAATTAAAAATTTTTAAAAATACAGGTTTTCTGCTGCCTAAACCTAAACCATCTCCACTGAATTTTCTACACTAACTCTTAAGAGAACCAATAAAGGACAGCTCCCTCGCTTCTGTTCCAAAATGGCATCGAATCGAAACCTTAGCAATCTATGCCTAGTCATCCACCCAGGCTAACGAAATTTTTTTAACATGAATCAGATCTGTTGACAGACCAATATAATTTTAATTTATTGTACGGTCGGTTGGCCACGTCCACCGGGCCAGCACCATGTGATAATCTCTCACAGACCAACATGCTATTGCTCTTCCCGGGAATTTCTAGCAATTTATGAAACATGAGGTGTCCTATGACCAGACGCAACGGTCTGGTTCCTTAGAGTAATGAACCAGTGGAAAAAAATAAAAAAGACAGAATTTCAAGATGCCAGTTAGTTTAGCTCATGAAATCACTTGGTAATGGACTGAGTGACCTAAGATAAAAAGCACCCATGCATGATATGCTAGTGCAAGAAAGACTTCCATTAGGTTAAAACTTTTTTTTTTAAATTATTTTTAAATCATTTTAATATATTAATATCAAAAATAAATTTTAAAAAATTAAAAAATATTATTTTAATATATTTTTAAATAAAAAATAATTTAAAAATCAACTTGTATCATCCTCTCAAACACCACACCAGCCACGGGAGCTAAAAACAGCTCGAGAAACTTACAAAACTCCTAGCTGGTAAAGGTAACTAACAGAATGGATTATAATATTTACATCAGATGAATCAACCAGCCTAGTAGTTGTGAAAAGGACCTGATTTCCAAGTTCTAACAACGCCCAAAATCTGATCCATCTAACGTATATACTGCCGCACAACAAAAATAGTGTCTTGTTATCTAATCACGGAGCTCCGGCTTTCAAAATATCCATTCCTTCTATTCTGAAAATAGATCACCAAGAAAAAGCATTTCATAATTCAATAATCACCCTTCTCAAATGCCATGATCAATAACATACAGGAACTAAAGAAAAGAGTGCGTGCTTGGTGGGGGTTGGGGGGGGGGGGGTTTCAATGTTTTCCCTGCTACAAACTTGCATATTTGTGGATGGACATGCAATTGTGCATCTCTTTGAATAAGACTTGAGCTATGACTATGGAGGTGGGCAAGGAAGCGAGTCCAACACAAACAAAAGTTGCGGAGAGGAAGTGACACCAAACTTATTATCCAGTGTAATAGACAAACCCAGACAGCATAAGCTCTCCCCTTTGACTTCTGATGATTGACGGAATTTAAGTCCATCTAGGGACTCGCCTCTAAAAAAGTATATATATTTTTTAAAAATGGAAAAATTAAAATTCATGAGCAAGGACTGAGAACTTACAAATGGTCCTATATATTCACATAAACTAAAAGGATAGTTGGAAGGCACAATGTTTCTGTGTTGGAAGTGCTTACCCAAAAGGAGCAATTCTTTTAGCCTGCCCTTTTCTCCAAAAAGTGTCCAGAAGAGCTACTACACTGAGAACAGTACAGTTCATTTACACTTCAAAGTAACCCAAAGTTTTCTCAACTCTTGCCTTTGTTGCTGGAAAAAGAATCAACATACCCAATTCAACAAAGAAAACATAAAACAATACTTAACAGAAAAAAAAAATGACAGCATTCTAGCTGATATTAAAAACCCAGAGATCATCAAATCCAGAGCATTAGTTGAATTAATCATAAAGACCTGGCGTAGCTTTCTCAAAGCTAGATCTGATCTTTCTTGTAGTAGGCACCAATCCATTGCCATTTCGTACTCAAGTGTATTGGGCTGAGAACAATGTGAAGTAGATACTGCTTCTTTCTGAGCAGAAGACATATTTTAATCACAACAGGCGGGGGTGCAACAAAACAAAAGTTTATCCACTTCAGTATTGTCTGCAGTGTGTGCAAGCATGGTTAAAGCAGGAATAAAATGTACCATCTCACGCTGCTTGTGGATTCTAAGTTTATTGATAACAAGATGACCAAAAAAGGTTGACTGCTTTCCTGGGAAACAAGGAGCAGCGATGCTGCCAACCAGAGGCCTGCAAAAATGAATATGAATAGAAGAATAAGCAGCAGCATTATCTACCAGCTGATCATCTTAACCAGTGTGGAACAGTGCAAACTGAGCAGCAACACATTGATGCATTACAATGCCATCCTGTAAAACAAGGTTAGCCAGGCAAAAGGGCTACAATCGCAACATGAGAAAGGGAAAACAATATAAGACTGGAGGGGAAAGTATAGATGCCACGAGGGAGATCCTCTATTGTCCCAAGTACTAACATGCAAGATAGTTTGGGGCTTGACTTCATAATTTTTCAGTTGAAGGGGACAATAATATTGATAAAACTGGAAGGCTTTGGCTGGAATTTCTACTGGTAAAGCAGAACCGCTGAGCAGGAAATATTTAATTGATGTGCACCAGTGCTGAAATGGGGTGAAACCATACCTCCCATTTGATAGCATTAAACAACCTTCATCTAATTTTGCAACTGCCATCTCTGCTACTTCCCTTTTCTGGAATATAACAAAAGCCTGACCTGCAGCATAAACAACTAAAAAAATCAAAGTCCAGTAATAGGTAATTCTTTTTACAACAGAAGGGAGCATGTACAGAACAACACCCCCTCCCCCAACACACACACACACATGAACACAAAAGAAAACCGTGCTAGCTTAACAAATTTATGATATTTAACGAGTGATTGGCCCCTTTCATTTGTACCAGAGTGAGGGCTGGCAAGTGCAGTCCTTTGAATCATCTTCACAGTGCAACTTTGCTTGAAGGCATGCCAAATGATATCCTGATCCATAGCAATTAAATTATGAGCCTCAACACAATCTAAGGAACAGTACCGGGCAGCAACCACTACATGGAACATGAAAGAAAATAAGAATAGCAAGCATATACTGTAGGAAAACTACACAGGAAGTGTTTTACTACAATGCAGTTGTGATGTGAAGCACAAATGAATGGAAGACCATAAAACTAGTAAAGAAAATGTATTCTAGAATTAGAATCACCTCTACTTCTGCTGAAGTATAAGATGGATCCAGATTCTGTAGCAGGACAAGAGTTCCTTGCTCGTGAGCAGTTTGCATTCGTTCTTCCCATGGCTGGTAGGAATATACAAGGCAATTCAAAAATTAGTCTAATGGGTCCCATTTTGACTTGTTTCTAATGACATCAACATTCTATGACAGCGCCTGCATTAAAAATCAGTCTTTGTTTTTATGATGGACCTTTGGCCCAACTAGTCCATCCCTCGGGCTAGAGCCTCCCTATATGGGACAGCCCATACGACTCCAGGATGAGCAAGCAGCCAACATCAGATTTTATGGCCAATGGGCATTGAATCCTACATCTTTAAAGAGTATCGGCAAACATTGATTAAATAACATTGTTTCATTGGTCCTATAGAGTTTTTGAAAGCAAAATGTCAACAATAAATATTTAGTTAATTGAGATTAATAAATCACTTGAAATCAGGAACCATAGCAAGATTGAGAAAGAATACTTACAAGTCCCCTAAACCACTTGCTTCTATCCTGTCAACACATCCATAACAAAGATGCAAGTATTAAATATCATTCACCAAAAGTTTCTCATCAACAACAACAAAACAAGCACTATAAGAGATCAATGAGCACAATAAAAAGCAGGGAATACAAGACATCGATCAGCTAAAAATGAAGGAATTCAGGAAATCAATGAGGCTTGAGCACATCATTCCTTTTGCTGTAATCCAAACCACAAACATATATAGTTAATAATTTGTCTAGAAACCACCCTTTTTCATCTTCCATCTTTTCTTCGTTCAACATTAGTACTCTTACCCTCTCCTATCCTTCCAGCTCTTCACTGTTGTGTTATTTTTTCTTAATAGAAGTATTGCTGCTAAGTAAATGGTAGTGCAACATGAAAGACATTAATAAATAAAGGTAAAATAAGACTCCTGGCAATGCAACTTACAGCTTCTGGCCTGCGAGTGACTTCCTGTATTTGGCAGTTAGTTTTACTGCCCTCCTCTGAAGGCTGTCTTAGAGATGCTTCAGGAAACTTGCCATTAGCAAGTCTAGCAAGCTTCTCATCAGGCTTTGGCCTCTTGGATGCTTCAGGAAACTTGCCATTAGCAAGTCTAGTAAGCTTCTCATCAGGCTTTGGCCTCTTCAAAAGGCCACTGTTGTTCTCATGATGATCTTTAGTGAGATTAGGTTTTGATTTATCTTCAGAAGCAGGGGTTGTTTGGGCTACAGACTTGGAGTTGCTGATATTGGAATCATGACTTGCTTTCTGCACACCTTTCACCTTGTTATCATAAGATGCTTTTGCCAAATCATCAAGCTTTGCTTTCTTAGATGGCCCGTCATCTAAGTCACCACAGTCTTTGGCAACTTTTACTTTCTCTTCAATTAGAACCTGATCAGCAAAGACTTTATCAACTTTACTTTTACTCCAGCCAACATCATCTTTAGAACTTGAAGCGATGATGTCACTCGGTATGCCTTCCTTTTTATCAACTTTAGTCATTTCACCTAACCCTAAATTAGATGCAGAGTTTTCTCCTGGTGAAGATTTCTGGTTGGCCAATGAAGGTTTTATGTCTGAAATTTGCTTAACTTTAGAGCTTGAACTTGCCATCTCACCAGAATTATCTACCAGCCGATCATTTATTTTAGTCACTTCATTAAACTTTACATGTGAACTAGAAGCAGCCTTCTCTCCAAGATAAGATTCTGTCCTGGTCAAAATTCTTGTGTCATTAGTAGCCACAACATTTCCACTTACTTCTTTCTTGTTTGAATCAAGTTTTGGAACACCACTGGAACTCTGATTACCCACTCTGTTCAATAAGAACTTCACTGCAGCAATTGAAGATGCAGCAATCATACAGAGTTTAATGAGCATCAAGCAACTGATCAGATAAGAGTACAGGAGAATTGAAGGCAAAAAAACACATACCTTCAATCCCAGCAATTTTGTCATCTATCTTATCCAAGCTCCTACAGTTCCCAACATCAAATGTACGATAAAAAACAAAGTCAGCCTCTTGAAGTTCTTTATCTGATGGTTGTGGATTCCTACTATCCTTTGAACTGCATACCACATTGCATTTTCCAGCAATTGCTTCCTGGTTTGATGCATGAGAAATTAAGATGACTAGTAGTGCCTCAAAAGCACCAGTTATGTTTCCATTTGAAAAAACAATAAGAAGTTGAAGTCCAGCGGGAAGATTTCTAAATTTCAGTAAAAAAATATCACATTGATGTTTCAAGGCACTAAAAAATAACAATGTTTCATTTCTGTTCAAATGCATTAAAGTTTATATGCATGATTTTCAGTGGACCACATAACATACCAGAAGGACCTATTGAAGATTTGACTATGAATTAAGAATAAAATAGACGTAATTAAAATTGTAAGTATTGAAAACAATACAATTTTTTTAAGAACACATTGGGTTATTTTCCTTGAAAAGGCCCAAAGAACCTAAGTAATACTATCCAAACAAAAAACAGAGGACTGCTATATGTCCAACATAATCAAAGAAACCTAAAGTTAAAAATATAACTGATTGTGCCTTTTCTCTCTCCCCCCCTCATGGTAAGAGCAGGCAAGGCCCCTCAAAGATGTCATGCCTGAAGTTTTTCACAGGTCCAATACAGATAATATACCAGTGTGTGCTTTATGTTATGTTGACACCGATACCACCAAGGTAAATGATGAGCCCGAGCAACAAAGGGCCCAGAAAATTTAAAGAAAATTAACAGCAATATGTCATTAGAGTCATATAATAAGTCACTACCAACAAGCCAAAAGTTATATTAAAGAAAGTTATAGTTTAAAATTAATTACCAAAGGATTAACATTTGTGCTGCCTACACCTTCACCAGATGCCAGAAACAATTCATTCTCAGCAGTCTTCTCATCTCCAAGATAATTGGCAATCTCACGACAACAGAAAAACCATAGAACCTTCACTTTCTTTGTCTTGTCAGCATTCTCCCATATCTTTATGAGCTTCCCAATATAAGGCTCTATCTCACCTTCCTTGTACATGTAAACAGAATCATATAGAGCATACTCCACACCATCATAGGAGAAAGATTCATAAAATTTTACATCTTTCTTTTTCCCACCAACTCCTCTCTGTTTACCCCACTTAAATTCGATGTTCTCAACTTTTTTTGCTTCTACCATACTCAATAACAGGATATTCTAGATTTTTGTATTCAGTAAAACGTGTAGAACCAAGCTGGAAAAAAAAAACAGAAAAGGGGAAAAACATTTCAGAAATAAGCAAGAAAGTTAGAGCAACATCAGAAGATAGCTGAAGTAATTTAAACAGATAGTCATGAGGACAATAGGACGTTGAATTATTTCTAAACCAAACCTTACTAAGGTGGAACCAGTAAATAGCTAGTCCTATATGTAAATACCAATCAAGTGACATCTATAAACACACGCATAATGTATTAGCATTCTCAATCCACAGGTAATTTATTCATCAAGATTAATCATGCAGAGTTAGTTAGCCTCGTGATCATGCATAAATTTGTTAACTAGCTTATCCAACTAAAAATCTAAGCATTCTGAAGACACAAAAACTTAGACAGAGATTATAACACATAATCACAATGTGCGGGTAAATAACATGTCACTGTCAACTGTGAGCTATCAGCAACTTAACTATCTACTCATGAATGCCGCAACCCTCCCTGTTTTTTTTGCCAAAATCAATCTTAGGGTTTTGCCCCCTTCTTTTGATGAAATGAAATGCTGTTATGGTATAAAAAACAGCAGCATTGTAAAATACCTAAGTACTCTGTGATTTTTTACATTATCAAAACAAAAATTAACCCTAGAAACCCTAAATTTATAATGGCATACTAAGGCCACAGTAATACTCTGTATTTATGTATAATTAAACAAGCTTGGAACCAAAACAAGAGCAAAAGTATGCAAAATAACACTACATTCATGTATATGAACAGAAAATAAAGTAAAAAATATCTCCTTCCACGTAATTATAATAAAAATCGTCGACTAAATTCATGTGAAACAAAACAATATCGACAAAAAAACGAACTATGTGCTTTTCTCGAACTCCGGATTACGTGATCATCGAAAGATTTTCAAAAGGAAACGGAACCTGAAGTCCAATTGTGTATTGTATGTTCCAGGGAAAGCAAGTGGTGCCGTTTAGCACACGTAGTAAGGCGTCTTCTCGCTCAAAAGCGCAGTGTTGGTGACAAATCAGACAAGGAATTCGCCGGGAAAAAAACTTGAAGAAGAAGAAGAAGGAGATTGGGAGAGAGAGAGAGGATTTTCGTTTCTCTGTGAAAACTTAAAACCCTAGCGAAAGCGCGCTTGATTTTATTTTCGATTTTTCTCTGTTTTCTTTTCTTTTTAATTATAGTTTGATTTGATTTGATTTGATGCAGGCTCCAGAACATGAAGGGGCTACTTCCTGGTGCCTCTCAGCTAGTCATTGAAAGAGCTACGTGATTTATACTTTAGTCCCTATGTGTTTGGTAATATGTCACTTAGATTTTCATGATTTAAAATTTTTGATATTGACACTATAATGCCGAGTTGTTAAACCCTTAAGAGTTTTTTTTTTTTTTTTTAATCAAAGCAATGTTTTTTAAAAAAATAAAAAAGTCAAATTGAATTTGAACAATTAGGTATAAATAGGTCAATTTGGATCAAATATTTTTAACTTGACCTAGGCTAGAGTCTTGATGACTAGATCTCAGGTTCAAATATTTTTAAAAAAATAATACCAATCTTATTTTTCAATTATTTGCTTTCCTTTCCATTTTGAAATCTTCAATCCTATTGTTTATTATAAAAAAAATTAATTGTTAATTTCCATTTTTGTATGCTAATTTATTGAAATAAAAAATTTCAAATAATAATATCATTTTCAAAACCTAAAAGGACTGTAGCCTATGTCTAGATCATAGTGAATTACAATAATAAATAAATAAACTGTGAATTACAATAGTAAAGTGGCGGTTTGCTATTTATTCTAAAATCATTAAGCTTTGTGTTGTGGGGTAAAAATGTTTTTTTTTAAATGGTAAAAAAATCATTTAAAAATTAGATAAAAGCAAAAAAGTTTTTGTACATTCATTTCAGTACGGCGAAATTATTTAATCGTCTTAACTAGCAAAAAATTTTAAACTTGATTCTAAGAGCTTTATTGTCTTTTTATTTTTTTAAAGAGTAAAATTATTAATTTAACTTTGGTTAAAAAAAGAAAATATTATTTAAGCGCTTTTTGTCTTTTACTTAATTTAAACATAGTTAAATTATTCCATTGACCTTCAAATTAAAAAAGCTTGCCCTTCGATTTAGCCTTCTAGATTTTATTATTTTGTAATTCTCGAGTTTTATTGGGGATGATAGGCTCATTTGTTAAATAAGATGTTTTGTTTTTTTTAACAAAAATTTAAGAGGCGCGTGGATAATGGCGGATTTTGGATGGCGTCGTCTTGTGGCTGAGAGTTTAATTCCAAGGTGGCGAAGGGAGGAGGAGGAGAATAAGGTTTTTTCACCGGAAGCTTTTTGTTAATTAACTCATTTTCCCTTTGATAATTGTCAAGGAGACTTCACAGTTTGAACCAACACTATATTTGCGCTTGTGGAAATATTTTGAACTCTTGAAGTTCTGATGACATTCGTTAATTAAGTTAACAAACATGCCAGAATTTACTTGTCTCACCAAGTCCCCAAGCAGAATAAGAGAAATCATATTCTTCCTTGGAGCAACAAAAATGATGCGTAGCCTTTTGATTCTCTCACAAACAGTGCGCACCCAGCATTCCACGGTAAATCATGTCTCCCAAGCTGATTTGGGATAAAGTAGTTTCTTCTACTGATGAATTTTATTAGTACTACCAGTGGGGCCATAGAAATACACGCCATCCTTTTGTTGGAAGGAACTTGTAACTTTATGGAGCTTCTCTTAGCTAGTATAGTAGTGCTTGAAAGCAATACAAGTTTAACACATAGGCTTGGTTACTGCTTACTATATATTTTAACGGTCAATTAATCTTTTCTCTGGCTTTTTTAATAATGCTTTAAATATCTCACCTTTTTCTTTTCCAAGTTAATGGTATGAAGTCTGTTGGAAATCGAGTTGGAGTTTCAGAAACTTTTTTGATGCGTATGGCGCATGGAGCACATATGTTCAATTTATATAAACAGATCAATAGATAATACGATAGGCTTTTGTGCCAGCAAGCATGAAAACCAATCTGGGGTTATGAACAAAAGTGTGACTTCATCAGATGAACAGACAATTAGGGTGAGAAAAAGATTTCATGTTGCTCTCATCTTGTCAAGACTTGTGCAGGTGTTTCATCCTTTTCCTTTCTTTCTTCAATCTGATTAGTAACACTGACTTAGTGAACCAAATATAGTCTTCTATATCCACATCTTTTTTAGTACATCTATCTTTCGTGTTTGTTTCGTGTGCGTTGGCATAAAATACTACGTGTGCATCGCATGCATTAAGAATATGCATTCTTGGCTACTTGTTTCATCCAGAAAAAGTATATGTATCCAGTAGTCTGCTTAGATTTTCTCATGGTTACCTGGGTACGATACCTAATATTTCTTTATCATGGGTTGTGTTTGCTTTTGCTTTCTAATAAATGCTGTTTCTTCTTCTTCTTTTCCCGTTTCCCTGCTTTGCTGAATAAACAATATTATTTACATTCTTGCATAAAGTAAGCACCGATACCGAGGTTTGTGAAACTTTTAAAGTTGCTAGTGGCATGGTTCAATCTTTACCGGAAAATGCTGGAAGGTTTGCATCTGTGGCTTTGTGAAATACTTGGATGCCATGATCTCGAGGGCCTGGTTGTGAAGTTCCAAAATTGTGTTTCATTTGGAGTGAGCAGAGATTGTGGAACTGGCTAATATTCCATATGTTAAGGAAATTGATTCCTCAACACAAAGTCATAGTAGTTATGTGTCATTTTGTTGATGTTTCAAAGTTCCTGTTTAATATTCCAGAGATAGCCATTATTTTCATTATTTCATTTGTAAGGTTCTTAAGCAAGGACACTCTATAAAGCAGGGTTGCGTACACCTCAAGCTATTGCTGAAGCATCTTTTCCCGAAGTAGGCAAAGCACTTATTGAATCTTCATCATGGACTGCGCAAGGTGAGCTTAGAAATTTCAGTACATTGCCTCTTATGTGATTTCTGCTTTTATCTGAGATAATTTTGTGACCATTACAGAATCTATTTATCACATATTTTTTTCCTACTTTGAGAGGTTCACACCTTTTATGTTTGGAAGAAAGAATCACAGTTATATGACCATCATGCCAAGCGACAACAAATTCTAGAATATTCTTGCGTGCTTTTGGCTTATTAATTAATAACTGATGGGTTTCTTAGATAGGAAAACTATATGTTTCTTGATGGTGTATAAGAAAAAAAAATCTTGGTTCAGATTGCGTGAATGTTTGTTTTAAGAGTTTGTGGTTGTATATTCAGCATAGGCTTGTGGGTTTAGGATTTTAATGGTTTAACATGTAGCTTTTAGGTTTTGGTGCCTAGAATTTTGGGGGTAAGATTTCATTCTTAGTCGTTATTCACCCATGGATTTCTGATCTAAAGCTAAGTACCTCATGCTTAATATCATACTTGTAAATTGTAATGGAACTTTCTGACATGTACCATAATGTGCCCAGTACATGCCTTCTAATAGAGAATTTGTGTCTCCTACTGGCCTGCCTTCTGTAATTGTTGTCTCTGTTGTGTAGCATGCATTTATAGATTCATTTATCAAATATTTGGATTTACTGTGACTTAGACAAGTTGATGAAATGGTTGCAGAGGGTCACAAAGACGCATGAAATAGGGAATTGCAAAGAAAATCATGAATGATGCGCACAAAATTGTAACGGACCAAGCAGAAGAGGCAGGGGTTTTTGCTTTCGCAGCTTTCAAATCACTCGGATTCAATGTTCCGCAGTTTTCTCCGCCTTAATTATCCAACGCTCCTGAAAATCTTGTTGAGCAAGGAACTGCAGGTACCTTGTTCGGGGATGATTCCAATATTGTTTTGCATGTGGACCAAAGAGATCACACTTCATCTATGCTGTTCATAGAAGGTAGTAAGAATTCTGGTAAAGTTACTCTGGGAACTGGATAAGACAAATTAACAAGCACAGTCAGCGTTAGATTGGTAATTGCTGCAGAAGGAAGCTCAAATGGTCCGATTCAATTCAACGCTGGTGCTGAAAATTCTACAGTACCCTGTCCAATTAGGACAGAATGGCGATCATAAGAATAATGCAGAGGCACAATCCTCTCTGTCCAATTAGGACAGAATGATGATGGAACTGAGATCAATGACAGGATCATTGATACCAGAGTGCAGGAGCAATGTAGTAGAGAAAATTTAAGTAGTGATAATAAGGACAGTGCTTGTGAGAAGGGTCCTATTAATGTAAGAAATATTTCAGGTGGATTTGATTCTTTGTTATATCTCCGGCATGCTACCCGAGAATTCTATTTTGATATCCACTACAACAAGTGATCGGAAGTAAAATCTGTCACCTCATTTGAAAAACATGGTATTGCCATCTGCTGGGAAAATTCTCCAGTGCACCACATCAATCTTCCTAAGGATCTACTGTGGTCTCATAATCGAAGGAATGACTCCTCACCTCCTAGTGCATCTAGTGGCAGAAACAATACTCACCCACCTGAGAATTGGTTGGAGATAGTTCGACAGAGATGGAACAAAATTGGAGAAATAATGGGAAAGGGAGGTGTTCCAAAATTTATGTGTAATTTGAAAGTTCAACTTCAGGTACTCAATGATGCTGTTGTTTCCATTCAGAGATATGGTCTTTCAAGGAAAGTCTCCGTTCCTGAACTCATAGACAGTTTGCACTTAATGTTGTCCCCTATTAATATTATAGAAGCAATCTACACGTGCATTGTGGCATGGATTCTTTGGCCTGATGAGGAGAGAAGCTTCAATCTGAATTTGGAGAAGGTAATGTTAACTGGCTGTATTTAACAGCGTGAATCCAAATATTAGCATATGTAGACTGTCTTTGAAAGGGGACGTTTCTTTTTCTTTTTACAGTTAGCTACTTCGTCTTGTGTTCTTTCCTGTTCCACTGAAGTATTTTTAATGGTGAAAAGGCAATGAAACTCTAAATCCCTTGTTAATTATGCATCACTTCAAACTGGTTTCTTATTGTTATGATGTTGCAGGAAGTCAAGGGAAGGTTATCCAGTGAGGCTGTGGCAGCTGCTATTCGGAATGGCTGGTGGAAGAATCAGATGTGAAGAGTTGCTCATAATGGTTGCTGTCGGCCGTGTTGCAAAATCACGAGCCCTTTGTTTTGGTCTTTGAAGTTTCTGACTTCTGAGGGACTCGTTGAAGCTCTCAAGAACATTGAAAT